TGTAAAACATCCAGCAGACAGTTTGAAATGATCAGAAAACAGTAGGTAACCTGTGGGTGGTTGTAAGTTAATCATAGCTGGTAAAATCTTATTTATAGTTATATTCATAGTGATGCATAAACACAACAACACATAAACAGGGATGTTAGGTCAGCATTGTCTTGTCTGGCATGTTCAGGCTTTATGATCCCTGTTATATGCAGAGCAGTGGCTCAGATTGTGATAATGGATCCAAATGGGATAAAATAATCCTTGAATATGCCTTGTTTGACTATGGTTAAAGAAAGCAATTTTTATGGTTAAGTTTTTTAAACTCTGCCTTGGCAGTCTCAACTGGGAAAGAAACCCATGTATTTTGTTCACCTTTATGTCTTGTTCTTATCATCTTGGTGTCATGTTATGCAATACTGAATACACACACTCGTTCACACAAATGTGTAATGATTCAACCATACTGAATTGAGCATTGGCTTTGGCAGTCACTCTGTGGTATCATGGTCATTGAACCATTACCTTTGTCCTTTTCTAAGCAGCAGTTCCATTTTGTAGAAAACTGATGTTATTCAACATAAATGTGTGTGTATGCACATGCATGTTTGAGTATTTCCAACACATATATTTAAAACCCATCCAGCTTCTTTTCTTCTTGTGTGTTGAGTTTATTTGTTAGTTTACTTTGTGTTACATAAAGAAAAAAAATAATAATATCAAAAAGTCAAAGCCAGTCAAGTCGCTTTAATGTTCAATTTCTTCACATGCACAGCATACGGTCGAGAGTTTCTGACTCTCACGGTGAAACCAGAAAAAAGTGCACAGGCACAACAGATAAGACAAGACATTTCCTAATACTAAAAGTAAACATTCAATTACACAACAGATAAGACATTCACTAATGCTAAAAAAGATAGACAATAAAATATAAAATATACAATAATAAATGCACACACAATCCAATGTGCTATATTTTCTCAGGCAACACTCAGGTCCAAAGTTCAAGGTCCCAGGGAAATGTGATATATATGCACATTTTATGCCTGATTTACTAGAAATATTTGGTCACAGTAGCACAAAGCTCTCTCACAGTCCTTGAATGACTGATCATGTACAGTGTCTGTAGCACTACACATGTTGAAGCAGAACTGTGTTACTACACAGTGGTGAAAAAAGTATCAGATCATTTACTTAAAGGTCCAGTGTGTAACATTTAGGAAGATGAATCAAATGAAATATAATATTATTAGGTATGTTTTCATTAGTGTATAATCACCTGAATATAGGAATTGTGTTTCTGTTACATTAGAATGAGCCATGTTGAACCTCCATGTTTTTACAGCTACCCAGAACGGACATGATATGGAATGAATTAGAAATATGACCAACCAACAGTATTAATGATAATTTAAAAGTATATATGTCAACAAAATTACCAATGATAACATGCCTTCATTGTCCATAACTGAGTGGTGCACCTATGTCCTCACATACACCCACCCACACAGGTGATTTTAGTCTAGACTAAATTCATTTGGACATCAAATTAACAATGGCTCAGTTTTAATAAATGTTCCATTGAGCCAGTATTCACAATACCATGACCCTAGAAATAGCTCACCTGCAGGCATTTAGTGAAAAAAAAACTCCTGCACAGTTTGAAGGTGGGTTGAACTATACAGGCAATGACTTAAATATTGATGAGAATGATAAAAGTGTAATTTGTTCCAACCTAACAGGTTAAACAAAGCTAAAAGCAGATTCAGAGGCATGTCAAGTCACACGCACGCCCACACATCTTGAGGATGTGGAAAAAGACAAAGAATAACCTAATATCCGCGTAGCATTAACACATCGCCAGGTTTTCTGTAAAATTTAAAAAAGAAAAAATGTGTTTAACCCAGCAGTTTATTGCTGGTATAAACAGCCAACAGGAAATCGTTGGTGTGGATGGCACCAGAACATTTCCACAGGGACATATAGACCTTTTTCACAGCAGACATTTTGACATGACATTTGCATGTGTAGCTGATAATATAATTAAGGCTGTACTTATCTATTCCAGTGTCAGGCTTCTGGTGATGGCACACCAGCAGGGCCTAATAGGGCTTCATGGAACAGAGTCATCATCAGTGTTATTATTTTCACCTGTGTTGTTTCTGCTGTACAACATCATTTTCTATTGTAAAAGAAACAGCATCATACCTGCCTACTGAACTTTAGTAGGCACCTCAATGCTCCAAACTTCCTGCTCCTTCTCTTCCCAAAACTGCTCTCCATCAAGACAGAATTACCAGCCTGGCAAAGAGGGTCACTAGGTCCTGGCCTCACTGTGTTTCAATTAATTGGTTCATCTGGTAATTTAATTAAGTGCAAATTTGATTAAGATTGTGCCCCAGTAAAGCCCAATTAGAACCAAATTAATTTGTGGTAGAGGGGCCAGTATTTCTGATGGTATGCTTACAGATCATCCTTTACACAGGTGTTTCCACTTTGTGTGATTAGACCTCTTAGACCTTAGGACAGTGTGCTTTATGTGTTGGATTATGCAGTTGGATTACATGGAAATACAACAAGTATAATTGTCGAGAGACTGATGTGCATACAAGTCTTGTATGTAAGTCTGTAAAGACACATAACAAAACAGATATGATGTACAGTTTTTATTGGTCTACTTAACCAAGGATGGGACAGAACAAAGAAAAATAACTGTGACTGTACTGCGGCTAAAATATAGGGCTGGGAAGCTAAGTTAACGTTCTTCTTATGTGCATGTGCTTGTGGGATGTGTATGTATGTATGTATGTATGTATGTATGTATGGTATGTGTGTCTTTGGGTGCATTCATACAAAAAGACTGGGATTAGGACTTGTGAGTGACAGCAGGATTTAACTTTGACATGTGAAGGACCTGAAATGCTGACACAAACAAAAGTGACATTATGAAGACTGCCTTTAGGTGCAATACCACTGAGAACTTTAGTTGGCTTTTCATGCTCAAAGTGTGCCCTATAAATAAAGCTGTAATATTTTGCCCCATAGAAAGAAACTTGGTGTGAACTAAAAACCCAGTTAACTGAGTGAGCTGTAGTTATTCTTGTGACTCAGTCTGCCCTATTTTTCTTGCAGATGACTTTGGACAGCGTGCCTTGGTGGGCAAAGTTTGTATGGACAGGAACAATTCTGTGAAACATTACAAAGAGACAAATCAGGAGTCTCAAGAGGAAACCTGTCGGTAGGTATCATCAGCTGTTTAATACAGTATATAGCAGATGTGTTTGAAGGCCTGTACCATTGTGTTGGCTCTAGCTATACAGTGTACAGTTGATTTAATGTGGAGCTGTGGACATGAGGCTAATATGTGGCCTTTCAAAACTTTATATAACACATAACACTAATAGTTCATTCAAAGGTATAAAGCAGGGAATTACAGAGAACAGGCAGATTATTGAAAAATTCTTTAGTCAGAAAAAAATTCCCAGAGGCAAAAACTTTAGTTATGCTGAATTTTTTCAGTGTGCGTCAAAGAAGTTTTCCCTTTTAGCGCTTAAAGCTACAACATGTGATATAAAATATATAATAGTGACCGATATATTACCATGATGTATGTAACAGTTAATCTTTAGGGAGTTAGATATGTTGGAATAATTCTTGTCTGTGCATCCAAACACAGTTGTTTTTCAGCGATAATGTAACTTTTAAATTCCCATAGCTATTACCTTTGAAATACATCACACAGAGTGTGCCCCAAATTCTGAAGTGATTATTGCTTCCTTTTTTAATAAAACAACATTTAGAGAGAGATTTACAACCACAATCAACTGCAAATGTAATTTGTATAGAAGATTTAATTTGTGAATGTGGCTTCTCAAATGAATTACAACCATTGTTTTGTCCCCTCAAGGTTCATTGCAGAGCTCTTGGGCAAAAAGGTAAGATTGTATAATACACCAAACAGAACAATTAGGGATGTAAGAAAAAATCAAGGTATATCCACATTTTTTTCAAGATTTTTAGATCCACTGTCTTTTTTTCTTTTCTTTTGTGGGTAGTACCCTCTTGTGAAGCCAGTGGTGACCCCCCGCTTCGCTCCATCCTGCACAGGAGCCTTGCTGGGACAGCTGGGAGAAATCGCTAAGAATAACAACCTGCACATTCAGGTGAGCTTACTGTGGTAACCAAACCAGGCTAGGTCCACAGGGGACTGTTGCCATAGAGACCATTTAGTGTTGGACCTGTGGGGTTTTTTTGAACAGTGAAATAAATACACACAAGGTAGAATGCTGACAAGAAAGAATGAAGAACAACTGCAGGACAACATTTTGCATTAGTTTATTCTTTAATTGCACTGGCTGCCCTCAGGCTCTACCTCTCTCTGTAAATGCTACAGCTTTTGTCAAAGTTAACGCCCCAGATTCTTTTAAAGTAACAATTTAATGCCTGACACGTATATGTTTATTTCCAGAGTCATATCAGTGAAAACGCTGAGGAAGTAAAGCTTGTAAAGGAGCTGTTTCCTGAGTCTGAGTCTTACACCGACGTATATCACAAATACAACCTGCTTACTGACAAGGTGAGGACACAGTCACACACAGACAGACACATGTAGAAAAATATAAATGTGGATAAAATTGCTGAACATGGTTGATATTATTCATGATGATGATGGTTTGCAGACCGTGATGGCCCATGGCTGCTACCTCAGTGATGAAGAGTTGGCTTTGTTCAGAGAGACAGGAGCTTCTTTGTCTCACTGCCCCAATTCCAACATTTCGTAAGTATTTGATTTTGTTTCTCAAGGCTATATGTGACCGAATAACATGAACCAAGTCCCATGAACATTTGAGATTTTACAAAAAAATGCACTACTGCAATACAGTATAACAGAAAGAAAAGAAATGCAACAGATGAAACTTTATCGATCCATGTGGTAAAATTAACTAGTCCTTAATCTATCACTTGACAGAAACACGATACATACATTTTGATCATTATTTCTTTGTATTAGTCACCTCTTTCTCTCCACCTGCCCAGGTTGTGCAGTGGAGTGTTGAATGTCCGCAACGTCCTGAAACACAAAGTGAAACTGGGGCTGGGAACAGGTGGGGGCAGAGCACATTTTCACTTCTAAGTGTTGCCAGACCACATCTTACAAAGTGTGTTACGCTACAAGGAAGCACTAAAAATATGTTTAATGATTTGGAGACTTGATTAAGACTTGCTGCAGCAGTGAGATTGTTATGATACATTAATTTTTGGATCTAAAAGCAGAACTTGGGAGGCTTTTCAATAGTCCAAAGTAGATTTGTTCAGAAAGTAAAAGAGAGATGGTGTTTGGAGAGCTTGACCAGAATTCCATGGTGGATCAGGGCAGGCATAGAGAGCTAGACAGGTGACTGAAAAGCAGACTGACAAGGCCAGCAGACATAGATCCACAGGAAGGTAATGATCCTGAGGCATAGTTAAACATGAGGTTAGACAGGATTCAGGTAACACGTGGATATACTGACCTAGATAAGAGTTTGACCAAAGCATTAGTACCACGTTAGCGAATGGAATGATCTGGCAAAGACTACTGCAGGAACTTGGATGAGTGGATGAGCCACAGGTGTACAAGTTGATCGACCTTGGTGAATCAGGCAACACTTGAAAACAAGAGGAATGAGGGTGAGGCACAGCCAGACCGTGACAGAAACTTGTTATCTGATTTTATAGCAGTCAGTCATTTTAGCGTTTTAGTGAGTGCAGTCAGCAGAAAGATTAGGCACACAGGACAAATGATCATCATCACTGTGTGGACATTTGCTGGTTCAAATGTCTAACAACAATAAAAAAAAAGACATCTGATGTAAATGGTATTTTAATTTTAGGCCCTAAACTAGCAGAAATCTGAACATATGAAATGTACATGCTGCTTCGTGAGTGCTTGTGTCTGCACGTTTGGATTGATTTGACTCATCCGGTCTGTGTTTGTGGTGCCGCGTCAGATGTGGCAGGTGGCTACTCGGCCTCTATGCTGGATGCTGTGAGGAGAGCTCTGGACTCATCCAAAGTCTTGACCATCCAGGACCCAGAATACGACACACTCTCCTTTGAGGAGGTGTTCAGACTGGCCACACTGGGAGGCAGCCAAGGTAAGCCACTCAACTCAGCTGTCGCTCCGTAACAGAGTGGCATTGTGTACATATTACAATTAAAACAGTAAGTGTTCTGGCTCTTTGTTAGTCTTATTCTCCACCAACTGTCGTGTTTTTTTCTTGCTGAAGTGTCTTTGCCCAATCTAAATCACTCTGTATTAGAACGCTGCAGCACAAATGACTGACTCTATACCCAGTTGCTGTGGGAAGATATTTTTAATGATGACTAATTGCAATTTCACAGGAGGGTAGAGCATACAACAGCTTCTTTTATGGTGTGTTTTGTCTGTAGCTTTGTCCCTGGATGACCAAACGGGGAACTTTGAAGTGGGCAAAGACTTCGATGCCCTGAGAGTGAATGTAGCTGCTCCTGGTGGACCCATTGACCTGATCCAGTGTGATGGGCCAAAGGTTGGTAATGGGTCTTAATCTATTCACACTCACTTCTACAGAAATTAACAAAAGCAGAACATTTCATTTCATTGTAAAGCTAATTTATCATCACTTCAATTTCAGATTCTTTTGGAAAAGTTCTTGAATTTGGGTGAGTGTCCATTTAAGTTTATTTGTCCAAATTTTTCAGATTAAAATGTGCCACTCAACATTTACTTTATGTTTATCTCTCCTCTTTGACAGGTGATGATCGCAACATAGTTGAGGTGTTTGTGGCCGGGAAGAAGGTGGTGCCATTCACAGAGTAAACATTTCAGTCGTCCACACACCTTCACTCATCTCACGGCTCAAAACCCCACCAGGAAAGTCAGCTTGAAGAGGATTTTAACTGCTAAAATACATGTATATCTGAGAAGAATGACTAGCTGGAAACACCCTATTGCTGCACAACTGTCCTTTAATGCTAAGACAAATAAGTTGGGAATTAATGATCACCATAAACATTTTACTGTGAAATCTAGAGGGCAGAACATGGTACAGTATGTGCTATTAATGAGGTTCAGTATGGTTCATGCAAGACTGTGGTCAGCTGAGCTAAGTCTTTAAGGATGATGGGCCTCAAAACAGGAAATAAGGAACCTTTTAATGGCCGAGAACATTGCGTACTAAAACATATTTGTACATCAACAAGCCACTTTTTATGTTCTGTTTGTTCTGGTACACACTGTTGTACACTTTTTTTGGTTTTATTAACTTACACTGCTTACTTAAACTTACCTAAACTAACACATATACAAGTACTGATGATGGTAGCCTCTGTAGTGTGTTGTTAACAACAACATATTTTCCATTTAATGATGATATCATGCTGTGTTACCTCAAGACATTTAAACTGGACAATTGTTCATAAAGTTAAGTGATGTATTACCATATAGGACTTTGCGCTGTAGCTGCAGTGCCTGGACTGAGTACGGCTTGATGGTCACATTTTCATATTTGTGTGAGCAGAAATTGCTTTATGATCAGAAGACTGGGATTGACTTGAGTTATAATCATAACCCATTCAGCTTTCACGCTGTACACTCCACTCAGGTATTTTAAATGGCAATGGTACATGATTACAGTATATTATAGTATTTTATAGTTATATTCGCTGGACTTTGTTTCAGTTTGACTAATTTTTCTCTTTTACAGTTTACATCAGATTGCAGCGCTCCGTGTGGTGAATTGACCATTCCACTTACTGGAAAGTGAAATTATAGGCTACTTAACCCGGTGCCTTATTATCAAAATCAGTTATGTTTCATTAGTTCAAATGGTTTTACTGAAATGGTTGATTTTATTATCGAACCTAATGAAATATACTATATACTTATTACATATATATATATTGCAAACTGTCTTATGAATGTTTGGAAATGAAGGGAAATTAAATGGATTGACTGCTGAATATGTGTTGTCTTCATAAATTAGATTGTATTTAAGGCAAGTTTACTTTTTTACTGAAATATACCTTATTTTTATCACAACATATGACATATGACAACAAATGTTTATATGTTCAAGAACTCTTTGAACTGTTTGATGACTGTTTTGTCCGATCATGAGAGCTTGAAATAAATAATTCCACCAATTGTTTTTAATGTTTTTTCATGTGTAGTTATTTAACAAGCAGCTACTGATCAAGGACCATAACCCAGGATGTATAGGTAAATTGTATATATATGTTGTAACAAAATCCCTATTGACCCTTCCAGCTCACTAACAGACCAGTCTACAGCTTCTTTAATAAATGATCTTCATCTGGGCCTGACAGCTGAGAAGGTGAGATGGCTACTACTGACAACAAGGCCTTTGCTCCACTTCAGATCAGACCAGCATAAGGAAAATGTCATGCTACCAGCCACTAGAGGGCGACACTGTACAAACATCGGATATCTCACACCTTTTATATATATAATTAAAAATATGTAATTCAGTTACCCAAATTACAAACAAAAACAAACATATTTTCTCACTTAACTCTTGTTGTATCCAGTTATGTAGTTTAGGTATGGTATCATATGAAATTCAATGTGATGATTAATTAGGCTCACTTTCAGATTTTTGGGGAATTCTATTACAATCTACCATCTTTAACCAACCTTATTGTTTAGAAGTAACAAAGGAGATAGTTAGTACCTGCCAAACACATGACAGGTTTCCTCTCAAACTTGTAGCCATTAAAGAAGAAGCAACAACTAGCAAATGGGAAGTCTCCCACAAATGTCCATATTTGGAAAAATAAAATAGTAAAATAGTAAATATAGTGTGTTTACCCACTGTGTACTTAAATTGTATACTGTAATGGATCTGGGGGAAGTTTTGGTGTTGTTTTTACAGGACCAGCTTTCTCATCTCTATTTCAAATTGGGCCTAATAAGTTTTGGTATTATAATTTACAGATATTTATGAGTTAAAAACAAGTTGATTGTATGTTGGCACAGAGGTCTTAATAATGACTCAACCATCCATTTCTCTGAAACATGTAAAGTTACCCAGTAAGTCATTGTGTCCTCTTTATGTAAATGATGTATTTCCCCCTGGTAACCAAATCTGTTATTTTTTATTTTTGTTTTGATTAAAACATAAAACCAAAGCATGGATTGATACGAGCTGAGGTACGTGATAAAATATGTATTTGTCATTTAATTTAAGCATCATTTAAGTTTTAAGGAACCACAGATCATGCTTTATGTTTTGAATGTTATGTTATCTTTACATTGCCTATAACATTACAGTCTGAAAAATGACATGAGAAAACCGACAAAAAGTGTGAAGTGTCTGTTTTTAAGTTTTTTAAACTGCATATCGGCCTTGAACATAGCTCCAATACAGTTATGATGGGGCTTTTTTGCCCGAAGTTTAATCTTTAAGGAAACCATTACACCTCAAGCTGTGCATTGCCGCTTCAACAATCAAATAGCCAATATGTATAGATGTGTTATGTGTGGTCGATTTAGGGTTGACACAGACCGCAGCTGGAGTTCAGAAAGCAAATCCTGAGAGGAAAGTGTGCCTTAGAGACTAAACTCAGGGTTAAAGTGTATCTCATGATGAGGAAGTGTGGCTGTCTCAAAGAGCGAAGGTTGGTTGCTGAACATTTCTTTACTTACTTTATACCCCTGCATATTCTCTTAGTGGACATAAAAACATCTTCTAATTGATGTGGCAGGTACGTCTAAGTTCTTCTTTACTGGATATTACTCCGTACACATTCATTTGGCATGGACAAAATATGAACAAAGTATATTATAGTCATGAATAGTATATATTTTAATATAAGTGGCATTGCACAATCTACCCTAACTAAAAAAAGGTATCTTCTTAAAATAAAACAATACAAAAAAATCCATTAGGGTTTACTGATTGCCTCTCCATCAGCACAGACCCAGCCTCCACCTCAGCACTGAAACCAGCCACTGTCCTGTCCAGCAATGCCTCTGTTTCGGCCCTCGGGTGGTGGACGTGGGAGTGAGGCGAGGGTCAGGCCCAGGCGGAAGAGGAGGATGAATCTGGAGTGGATGGGGAGCTGCGGGAAGACGGATGAAGACGGCTCTGTGCTTTCGTTGACACGGCTGTGTCTGCTGAGCCTGGCTGACAACATGAAGGAGGTGTGGGTGAAAGACTATGCCGACAACTACCTGGATCATTATTTCTTCAGATACATCATGGGGCCTTTCAACGTACTGCGTGAGTTTGTGAGGGCTCGTTTAACAGAACATGTTTTTGTCCCTCTCTTGCAGGTAATATGTCCATTAACCATGTGATCCATAGCAATATACTGATCCACTGAATCAGCAAATGGAAATGAAAGTCTATAAGAGGAAGCACTCTTTTACTTTTCCATGCAGATGTTAAACTACTTCCTCATGTACTTTATTTAAAAAAAAAACCCACTTAGGTCATTTATTGCTTCTACTCCTGCTACAAAATTTCTATACATTTCTAAAAAAAAACCTTCTATCTTTTACTCTCCCTGTAGCGGGTGACCTGGTCGAGGAGCTGACTTGCCTGCTGTGCACCAGGGAGCAGCTGTCCCGGGCGGCCCTCCACCTCCTGCTGGTCCCCCAACTCCGTGGCCTGTCTCTAGAAAGGTGTCCTGGTCTGGTCACATCCGCCCTCTGTACCCACATTGCTGCACGTTGTCAGGTCAGACAGAGCCCAGTCTCCATGTCTCTGTCCTCATTAGCTACTGATTGGATACAGGGCTTTTGTCCATTTTGTCTCCCACTGATGAAACTGATCACCATCAGAAATATATCTGACATTTTTTATGTTGTTCCTCACTGGTTTGAGTCTTCATATCCAGGAGGTCTTTTGCTAAATGCTAAATGTGAGACATGAAAAGTTGTTGGATGTGTGAGTGTCCAAAAATAGGACATTTCCCTGATTTTCACATTTTCACAGTCCACACCTTATACGCATACGCTTACAGAGGGATTTTTATATCCCTCTGTAAGCAGCAGCAAAATGGGGCATAATAACGGCTCCCAAAATGAAAGAAACAAGTGCTTTCTCTAGCCTGGAGTCAACAGGAGTGGTAGACACACTTTAAGAACCTGATCAGTATAATAAAAGTTGTTTTGTTTGTTTTGATCTTTCGTGTCAGGCCTATAACTCCTTAATGTCTTTATATTTCCTGCTTAATGTCTCAGGGTCTTTGGAGTCTGGACCTATCTGGAGCGCAGCAGCTGCCTTCAAAGGTCCTGTGTGAAACCCTCTGCTGTCTACCTGCCCTGCGCTCACTCTCCGTTGCTGGTACACCTTGTGACAAATTTGTAATTACGACGATTGCCCACCGCTGCCGTTTGCTGCGTCATCTGGACGTATCCCGCTGTCATTTCCTCTCCCCGGCTGCGCTACTTCCTCTTGGAGGTGGGGATTCCTTTTCATCCTCTGGCTGTCCTTCTGTTTCATCCTTTCAATGCACCTCTACATCCCAATCTTTTATTTCCCCTTCTTCCTCTGCGCCCTTGTCTCCTCCCCCCCTCAGCAGTCTGCTGGCTCTGGATATTGGGTTTGGGGAACGAGAGGGAGACCCAGTGGCGGCAGCAGTCTACCTCCTTCTCTCCCTGCCCTGCCTGGAGAGAGTGGCCATGGAGGGTGTTGGAGACGCCTGCTGTCTCATCCAGCACAGAGAGTTCGACCAGACAAATGAGTTCACTGACAGAGAAGGAGTTCCCAGGCTGGGGGTGGTGTGGGAGGAGTGGAGGCACAGGCAGGGCGTGGACGGTTGGACGAAAAAGCGAGAAGGAGCAGGAGCAGACGAGGATAAAGAGGAGGAGGAGGAGGAGCAGAGGATATTGTGGGAAGGGTATGGTAGTGAGAGTGAGGAAGATGCAAGTAGAGTCGAATGTCCAAGTTGCTCTCAGAAGCAAACAGAGGACAAAAGGAGAGGAAGAGTTTTGTCTCAGTCAGGTGATAAACGCCTGAGCCTGCGCCTAAAAGACGTCAAGGGCTTATCCTGCGACTCTCTGGACAGTTTAAGTCATTTATGTCCAAACATTGACTCCGTATCTGTGAACCTCGATGATTATGAAGATGTTAGAGGAAGAAGCCAGGGGTCTCTGTTAGCCGCAGGCCTCCAGACGTGGTCAGGCCAGCTGCGGAGCCTCTCCGTACACTACTCAGGCACTTTGGTGGATCTCCTTCCTGCATTGCAAGTTGCAGGCTCCTCCTTGCTCTCTCTCACCCTGGAGGGAGTGACAACCAGCCCTCGTACCCCTCTACTGGAGGTCATCGAGGCCTGTCCCAGACTGAGAGACCTGCTCATCTCTGCCGAGCCCCCCACCACACCACAGGAAGAAGATGACCAGGAGAATCAGCGGGACGATCGGGATCTTCCACGGCTGCCTAACCTCTGCTCCCTCACACTCAAGTAAGGCTTCAGTTGAGGTACACAAAAATTGACCAACAGAGTGGATTTACTGTTTGTTCCTGATACCGACTGCACATGTAGTCATGTGCTGTATAAGTGCAGTGCATCTACCATTTACCTTATCTTCATCATATAAGTGAAATGAAAATAGAAGCAACCTGGAATCATATATCCACCCTACTGAACAAGCCCCATAGACGCCCTGACCTCTCCACAGCAATCCGTTTAGAATAATGACAACCAATACTGTTCACAAGAATAAACAGAATTGGTTGTAAATAAGGTAAATTAGCCATGTACATTCAGTGTGTCATTTCTGCACTATTTCATAGCAGCACATCTACACTTTAGGAGGAAAAGGAGCATTGATGCTGCAACTCATCAGATCAGTTTTTGTTAGTAGTCTTCAATAAGACTCAGTGGTTCCTATTTTAGGGATTTTATCGTGGCTGTCTTTGTGTCATTTACCAATAATGCTACTAATCTGCTAATATACTTTGATTTCTTAGCACCTTCAATTTTATTTAAAGGCTTGTAGCAACTTTTCTTTTCCCAAGAAGTGTTAAAAATGGAGGCGTGCATTGGTGTTTACTCATTTCACTTAACTATTTTTACAAAATGGGAACAATACAGGTATATGGTTTGTCTCATTAGCCTCCCTGAATACTGTACTGCACTACAGTATTAACAAAATAGTAGTTTAGTTTGATAACACTAACCTAGACTTGAACTCATGTCTCCTTTCTATCTCTTCATTATTAGACCAATAGGAGCATTCATAATTATTAAGTGTAAAATTCCTTTCTGTATAAATTATTACCAGTTTAAACAACTAAGAATATGTATTATGTTGGGTGCAAAATGATGGCAAAAGTAAAAGGTTCCCACAAATGCGTGCAAACAGCTTTAGGCCTTCATCACAACAAAGTTGATAAAACAATAATATAAATTGTATAGAAACTGCTGTTTGCCTTTTGTTAAGTATGACTATGGCTTTTGGTTTGATAAAGGTTTTTAGGTAAAAGTACTGTGACTTCCTATTAGAGTAATGTTCTTGTTTGTCATCTTCTGTGTGTCTCCCATTTGTCTGAAGATTCTCCTACGAGCACAGCCAAATGAAGCCTGTCATGTCCTGGATGTCCCTGAAGAGGGTGCTCAAGTGTCTCCTGTCTGGTTCTCCTTTACTGGAGAAGCTCTCGCTGGTCTCTCTGCCGTGCCCTCTGAACTGCGTTTTACAGGATGTACTGCGCACAGTGGACTTGGACCTGCATCTCTTTGCAGATTCCACAGACTTACCTCCCAAGCCACTTGGGCGATTGCGACACATGGACTTGCCGCGGACAGACTTGAAGATGATAACACTGAAAAGTATAATCCAACAGAGCAGGAGGCTCAAGAGTGTTGATGCAAGTTACTGCTGGCAAATCAGTCAGCTTGAGTGGTTGGACTGCGAGAAGTGGAGTAAAGTCCAAGTTGTCTGGATGTAGTGAAGAGATTCCAATACAGGAGCGACACACTTCCAATACGGCATCAATAATGCTTTACATGATTCAAATAAAAATACACTTTTTTTACACTTTTTACAGTGTCAATTGCATTAGTTTCTCATCTTGCATGATTACAACTCTATAAGTTTTGTTATTTTTATAACTAAAATCCTACACACAATGATTTTAAAGACTGGTTTTGCACTGACTGATTGAAGTATGTTTTAAATACTCTCATGTCAAAACACGTGGGACTTTTTCTTGTAGTGCCTTGAATGAATTGAAAACTGTATCTTCTGTATTGTGTTTTAAATAAATCGTTTGACTATGATGTTTCTTCTAATGGTGAATTGAACAGGCAACATGTAACATATGCATAAGGAACACCGTGGTGTGCTTTCATTATGTTATCAGCATAAAATCACATCAGAAATGATAAGAAACACATACTGTATCTAATATATAATCTGTAGACAGTTTATTTTGTATTCAATGCTTTTATTTCAAAACTAATATGGACAGAAGGTACCCAGTGCTATTTTAGAAAAGAGGAAAAATCATGTCTTTGACTAGTATTGTTCCTCTGTGCAGAGGGGACTAGTAGGAAGAAGCACCAAATAAGAAAATCTTATGAAGATTGAGGTTGGATCACACCAGAACTGCATATAATAGGCAAGCATCCTAATTTAATTATGCTTTATTGGCATGGTTAGTACTGTAAAGTATTCCTAAAGCATATTACACAAGCTTAATGTAAGAGAAAAGCTAAACAGCTGCGCCATTATACCATATATTATACTACAATGTAAGAAAAACAAAGCATTGCAAACAAATGATTAAAAAATACATAACATTTGTATGCATGTATATACCAAATGATTGTAACGGTTAAACCAAGGAAGAAACAATTATCAATAAATGTTGTCAGTGGGAAATGCATCATGACAGAGCCAAAATAGTTCATGGAAACCAAAGGAGGAACCAGTGAAAGCAACCAAAAAACACGAATTTATTTAATCTACAGCTATTTATTCAGTTAACTTGAGAAAAAAAAACCGGTCCACATTCCAGCTGGTAGGTGGCGCTAATGCGTTTTAATCCTGCTTACAACCCCGCTATTAAATGGACAAGAAGGCGAAGGAACGGTGGGCGGTGTGGGTTTACCTATTCTGTTGCGTGCTATCCGGCCAACGCGGAGATGAAAATCAAACACACCTTGGTCAGGGGACACACGTCACTCGCCGGAGACCTGCCACATACTCGCTGAACATTAGCCAGCGGTTAGCATCTGGCTGCTCGGAAATGTGATGTTATTCCAGAAAAGGGAGGACTTTCACTGTTTTGCTAGTAAGTACGAACTCATGTAAAGGCCGCGGACATATAACTTCGCTGCGTTGACACTGACTGTTAGTAAAACTGTGTCAAATCCAGGTATTTTAGCTCGATGCTACGGCCAAACACGTCCGATGGCCACCGTACAGAACCGTCTGAAAACAACTCACGTTAGTTTACGTCGCCCGCTTTATTTTATAACAGTGTTTTCTCTGTCGTCTCTCCATTTTGGCTCATTTCTGTTCACGTTTTAAATACGTGTTTTAAAAAAAATAGCCCATTACGGCATCAAAATATCCCAGCGAAGCGACAATAACCTGTCGTGTTCACTTCGTCTAGCGTCGGGCCTTTCTTATACAAGTGTTCAGAAGTTGCCTTCGCTGCATATTGTTAACATTTCCGATATCCCCCCCCCCATAAATAAAAAAAGGTCATGGTGGCAAGTGAGGAAAACGGGATGGAGCGTCAGAATAAGCCCAGTCTCCCTCCTTCAGCAGACTGATCCACAACAAGTGAACCACCGAGCAGAAGACAATCTGCATCATGGGAAGGTTGGTTTGCGCTCATTCGTGGGAAGCTCCATTCATTTGTGAAGCCCCTCATGTCTTGCTCAGGCTCTCCTCTTCTTTTATCCATCTGTTGACAGGATCAGCTTTTCGTGCCTTTTCCCGGCTTCGTGGCATTTCAGCCTGTCATCACAGGTCCTTCCTCGGCTCCTGGTACCTTCCCTCCGGCAGCTCCTCTTCATCGGCCTGCTGCTCTGCCTCATGGGACTACTCTACCTGCTGCTGGTCACAGGGAAGGGGAATGCCAGCTGGATCCGAAAGGAAAATCACTTCCACAGGTAAACCAACAGAAGCTCTCCAGCTGCTTATGTTATGTTATACACAGGTAATGTTGTCCTAACCATTCGTTGTTGTCCGTAAGGCATTTGGCAAGGGTGACTGATGTGGACGCAACAGATACAAGCAACCCCAATCTGAACTATGGCCTGGTGGTGGACTGTGGTAGCAGTGGCTCCAGAGTGTTTGTGTACTGCTGGCCCCAGCACAATGGTAATCCCCATGAACTGCTGGACATTCAGCAAATGAGAGATCAACACCGCAAGCCAGTGGTCATGAAGATCAAACCAGGTAAGAAGAAGAAGAATGAACACCCTTTGTTAAAAGACTATAATGTAATACAGACCATTATAAGCGAGCTGTGTATTTCCCCAGTATAAAACAATATTCTTCTTTGTCTTTTTCATTACAGGTATCTCTGAATTGGCTAAAACACCGGAGAAAGCCAGTGATTATATCTATCCGCTGCTGAGCTTTGCAGCCCAACACATTCCCAAAAATAAACACCAAGAAACACCCTTGTACATCCTGTGCACAGCTGGAATGAGAATCCTTCCTGAAAGGTACAGTTGGGCTTTATCGCCTTATAATGCAGTCTCACAGGGCGCTCTGTAGCTCGCCTGAGCGTGTGTCCCGTGTAGGCTGTAGCCCCCCAATATCTCCCCTCATTGCTGTCAGTCTTCATCTTTCCTTTCTAATAAAGGCATAAAAAATATAGCTCTGTTCACCAAAGTAGCAAACTCTAACTTTCAGAAGCCCCAGATGTAAATATACCTGCCGGAAATAAGCAGACTGCCGGTTTAAACAGCATGAATGATTAATATGCCATTCATTTAATGATGAAGTTTTTGTGATTGTTTAATCTCAGTCAACAAGAAGCTCTTCTGGAGGATCTACGTACAGACATCCCAGTGCACTTCAACTTCCTCTTCTCTGATTCCCATGTGGAAGTGATTTCTGGAAAACAGGAAGGTAAATAAAGGGAATAATAAGAATAGACGGGAATTAAAAATGGCATGTTCAACTAAAATTCATTGCAGTTGTAGTTTTTGGAAAGATTTGCTGACAGTTGTCGTAAACAAAAAATGAATATATAATATATAATGAATTTTCCTAAATTACAGGGTTTAAGATTAAACCCCAATTTAAAATTTGTGAAGGGTTGAAGATGCTGGTAAACGTTTATATATTAATTTCTAACTTTGGCTTTTAGGTGTCTATGCATGGATTGGAATAAACTTTGTCCTTGGAAGGTTTAACCATGAACACAGTGGTAAGTAACCAAGAAAGTAGTAATTCAACAGTGTGCCATTTAAATAAATAAATAAAATAAAAAATAAGTACATTTTTGTTTTTTCACATTAAATGGTGCTAAATGTTAACCAATCTACATAAAAAATGCCGATTAAGTTGAGGCTTTTTTACTCTGTCACGTAATGAAATTTGTAGTAACATAGTAATCACATGACTTACCCTCCCTGACTGACTGGTCACTGCTTTTCTGTCAATCTTTCAAGATGGGGAAGCTGTAGTGGAGGTACATGTCCCAGGCAACGATCAGCAGGAGGCGCTGGTGAGGAAAAGGACTGCTGGAGTCCTGGACATGGGCGGGGTCTCCACACAGATCGCATACGAAGTGCCCAAAACTGTAAGCTTTGCTTCTCCACAACAGGTTATTATCCACAACCAATTCTGTTTTTGTGCTGTCTTTGGTTTTTGTCACTCACCCTTTGTTCTTCTCCCTCCTTCCAACCTCTGTCATTCCCTGGTTAAACCTGTATGCACCATTTTTGTCCCCCGGAGACGATCTGCTCTCCATTCATCACTATTGAAGGCACACTGTACTGTAAGCCTGCTGCATGACTCCATAGCAGGATTTTATTTTTTTTGGTCTGAGAACATTATGTAATTTATGCAGACTGCTGAATGCAGTGGAAGTCCATGTCAAGAATTTTAGTTTTTCTTGTAGTGACTCATGTACAATACCAGGTTTGGCATACGCTGCTTGTCCTTTTTGCTCTCATTGCTTTTTTTCCCTTTACACCACATGATATTCAATTGAATTCATCAATTCGTCATCTTAGATAGTTTCAGCTTCTGTTATTTAAGGTGTTGAGATAGATTTAATTCGATGTTTTGTTTATATGTCCTCAAACATGGGTGATCGCTGTAATAATCTACATCAACGTGTTGCATGTCAGCACTATAAATGTTAACATAAGGATATGTTTATCATTCCCAGGCTGACTTTTGTTTGTTCCCTAGGAGGAAGTTGCGAAGAACTTACTAGCCGAGTTCAACCTTGGGTGTGACGCACATCGCACAGAGCATGTTTATCGTGTTTATGTGTCTACCTTCCTGGGTTTTGGAGGAAATGCAGCACGCCAAAGATATGAGGAGAGCCTCATCAAAAATACTGCCACTCGAAACAGGTGAGATCACATCTGATGCTTATTATTTTGCAGATGTTTCCGGTACTGCACGTATTCACACTCTATTATTGGTCTCTACAGGCTCTTAGATCAGAATACTGGTGAGACGGCAGAGTCTCCCCTCCTGGACCCTTGTCTACCCGCAGACATGCAGGATGAAATCGGCCCATCTACGCAGAAGCTCTATCTGCGAGGCACAGGAGACTTTGACCAGTGTAGACAGATTCTCCAGCCGTTCCTCAACCGCACCAATGAGACCCAAACCTCCCTCAGTGGTATCTACCAGCCAGCCATTGACTACAACAACAGTCAGTTCTACGGCTTCTCTGAGTTCTACTACTGCACGGAGGATGTGCTGCGCATGGGCGGGGATTATAACGCTTCTAAATACGCCCGGGCTGCCAAGGTAAATGTTACATAGAAAGAAATCACATCTACTCCCATGAAGCATGCCCTATATATCCTCAATAAGTAACTCATTATTCCCTACTTTTTTCAGAAAGGTTCGTCTTACTCACTGCTGAAAGCACCGTTCTGTTTAAGTGCAGTTCAAATTTGTCTGTCAAATAGCTAATCATCACACCATCACTGGCTAGTTTTATTGATTCAAGACAGCAGGGCCTTGTCCATTGCCCCCTCCCTCTAGAACTCTCTCCCCAAACAAAACCGCTCTCTAAACCCATCTCTTCAAATCTTTAATCTGTGATCTGTCACCCCCTCTACCCCATCTTTTTATTTTTTATTTCTCCACTTGCCTTCTTGCTTTCATACTTTTGCTTCACCCGTTTATAAAATTGTAATACTGACAATTCTTTTGCTGTTTCTGTCTTTTTGTTTCCATGTAAGGTGCCCTTTAAGTACCTTTTTGTTTAAAGCACTATATAAAAGAAACGTATTACTACTAGTATTATTATTATTATTATACTGTTTTTTCTCTCTCAAACTGTTGTTCACACTTAGCATTTCAAATAAGGATTTTAAGACCACCCCGCCTTTTGTGTTTTACAAGGTTTGTTTACTTACATCGAAGTAAAAGACATGTACAGTATTAGAGTTAGAGTAGGATTTGGATAGTTATAAACTTTATCCAATACCTTTTGTTCTTATCCCTGATTGGCCTTTGAGTTAAAGGTTCAGTGTGTAGGATTTAGTGGCATCAAGCGGTGTAGTTGCAGATCACAGCTCCCTCACGACCCTCCAATTCCTATATTCAGGTTATTATACACTAATGAAAAGATACCTTTGAATATTATATTCTACTTCTGCCAATAGATCCTCCTAAATGTTACACACTGGACCTTAGGGCAATATAGTGCTACTGTAGTTTTAATAGTGTGATTATTTAGGAGCAATAGAGGTTAATATACTATTTATTGATGTCTTATCACTGGAAACTTTCCTGATGTTTTGGTTAACATTTACAGAGTTACTGTTCCACCCAGTGGAAGACTCTGAGGGAACGTTTTGACTCTGGCTTGTATGCATCACATGCTGATCTACACAGACTGAAGTAAGTCCCACAGGATTAACAAACTGCTACTAAAGCTCAACTAGCCAGTTGGTCACATTCCAAATAAGATGTTTATCAATGGCTTTATGTTTATGTCTGCAGGTACCAGTGTTTTAAATCAGCGTGGATGTATGAAGTATTGCACTCAGGCTTCTCTTTCCCAGCTAATTATAAAAACCTGAAGACCGCCCTGTTGGTCTATGATAAGGAGGTCCAGTGGACACTCGGAGCTATTCTTTACAGAACACGGTTTCTGCCTTTGAGGTAAGATAGATTGTCTCTCATGTGTTCACTTTACTAATTATGCTTTAAGTCATTTCAGCCAGTGAAAGTGATCATCCTAAATCTGTTCTTCAGTGTAAGTGAGCGAGTTCACTGTAATCCTCAGAGCTATCTTTGATAACAACACACTTTTATGTTGAACCTGAGTGGAGAGTTGAAACAGTGATCAGTACTTAGGCACTAAGGATTACAGAGAAATTCCACTTTTCTGCTCCAAAGAAATTTAAAAGAAGCTTCAGAGAACTGAAAAAATTCTGGATTCTTGTCTGATTTTCTATTAACGTTATCTTTTTGTTCAAAGCTGGTCTAAAATGTGTGAGGTTTGTTTGTTTTTCCAGGGACATCCAGCAGGAGAGTCTGAAAGGAGCGCACTCTCACTGGCGGCACAGCTTCTCCTTTGTCAACAACCACTATTTATTCCTGGCTTGTTTCTTCATTGTGTTGCTGTCTATTATGCTGTACTTGCTGCGCCTTCGCCGCATCCATCGGCGCACGGCCCAGCGCTGCACCCCCTCCTCTGTTCCATGGTTGGAAGAGGGCCTTGGCTCACCCACACTCCCCATCAACCTCTAAATTTTGTAGAGCATAAATTCTGGACAGCACATCTGACTTCCCAAAGCCAGTCTTCACTCCCTTTCTCTCTGAGGCTCAGCTGCTTGTTCAGTGAGCTTTTGAAGGCGGCTACTGTGCCCTGAAAACAGGGCTGCGAGTTACTATGAGTTAAAACTGAGATGGTAATGAGAACTGGATAAACGAAGAAGGTAATTATGTGACTCTTCAGGCTTACCTGAGCCCATGAAATATTTGTGTTGGAAGTTATTTTGTTTGATATGTCTTTTTTAGATCTCGTTCTTGCCTGCCATGTACTCCATTATCAAAATCAAAGAGAAACGGAGTCCAGGTGTCTTTTTGTTTTATTGAAAATAAACGCAACGGTACTTTTAGCTAGCTAATCTTCCATACCCAAATAAATATGTAGTCTATACTTTGAATTTCACAAGCTGGACGAATATACCATGGTGAAAATGTATTTATTTCTTTATGCCTTTTGTATATGTATGATCACATCTTTTCTGATTTATTATTCTACTTTAGTTGTTAAATGGTACAAGCACTCGCCATTTCCACAGAAACCTCAAATGCAATACGATTTATAATTAGTGGAAGGAGCACTTTTCCCAGCTGGGATAGTATTTTTTGTGTGTGTGTGTTTGTCTTTCCCAAATTGTTCTGCCTCAACAGGACAGGTAGCCTTTAATGGCTATACTAGTGCAATACATGTCTTGTCACTGTTAGGGAAACTCTCCAGAACACATCTGCTCTTATGTCAAGAGGATGACACTCTCTTAAAGCCCTGCTGAAATTCTTGTGTTGGATCATCTGACTTTTAAGTTGGATACCGTTACATATATTTACGTTGGGCTTCATTTTCAGAAGCCGTCATATCACTGCTGTGAGGGGATTGTAAATGAGAGCACATGCCCCATTATTTATATGAAAATGGTCTAGTGAAATGTTTGCACAGATGAATGCGAAATAAATGTTGTCACATTGCAATTCAGTAATAAAGGTTTTATGGTATACTTGTCTGGCTGTTTATTTGCTGAAGAGGAGATCAGACTAAACAAATAGTGTCAGTATTTCCATGCAATGAATCTGAAACCGATTATTCTAAAAGTATAATGTAGACGCCAACCTCTGTCACTGAAAAGGGAAAAGGCAAGAGTTTATTTCAGTTTACTCCAGAAGATTTCAGTCGATTTGAGTTCAACTATCAACAAGTTTAAGTGCTGCATGAGAGCATCGATCAATTGTAATAATCTGAATGCAGCCACTAATGACCACACAAGCTCAGCACAGGTGCTGTAGACAATTTGATGAAGTATTGTAGCCGTGCAGAGGCATTCTGAGATAAGTGTTGTTAGACCACAGCCTGTCTTTGTTTTCACATGCAGATGTGACCCTGGGCAAGGCTGCTGGTAATGGAAATGGGACAAATGGGAATAATTTAAACTGCACAACACAAGGGTCATCAGCTGTGGAATAAAACTGAGAGCTGCTGCATTTAGATGACTGAATTTCTTACTCTGGGTTGCTCATGGTATTCAGCTTTGCCATAACTACAGAGAAAATTGTCCACTTGATTATTAATGACAAATATATAATAAATATTTCATCAAGGAGGGACCTTTCCAGTTTCCAGTTATCCAGCTCTTGATGTTCTCTGTGTGAGAGAAGTGTTAATACTTGATGCCCTCTGCATGTGGCACACACCGGTCCATCCTGTGTGGTCGGTGCTATAGGTGTTTTATTAGCCTTCATTCATTTGCACTTACAGATTGCCACTTGGATGGGAAGATATTGTTATTGTAAACACAACAGTTCTTATAATAGTGTTTGGTTAACTTTAGACTGAATACATGGTAAAAAAAAACAACAACTGAGTTTTAACAATCAAGTGTGTCAGATCTTGTATGATAAAGTGATCACTGTGCTTCTCCACCATTAAAAGGTTCAGTTCAGTCTTACTGCTCTGACTGTAGTTTCTCTACTGAATTTGTGAATACCAGCTGCAACAACGCTGTTTGGACAAGTGGTTCTTTAAGATGCCAGGCTCCTATAATGCTGAGTCACTGATATGTCACACTGCTTCGCCTACACGCCCACTGTGACATTGTAGTGTGCTGTGTGTGTAGAGCTTATGTTTCAGCTAATGGTGAGTCACACATAATAGCTACTTCATCAAGCCCAATTGAATTGCTGTAATGATAATTCATACTGTTTCTTTTTTAAATCAAATAATACAATCTACAAATCAAATATCTTGACCAACAGATATCTTTTTGTAGAGTAAAAAGTGAGGAGTGTTTGTGTTTTGTTTGAATGTTCAGTCGAATCAGATGTGATCCTAAACACAAACTCCAGTTGGTTATCAAGGTGAAATTTAAACTTCTGGCCTGCAACAAGAGACAGATCCTAACATGTGATCCTAAACTCAAACTCCAGTTGGTTATCAAGGTGAAATTTAAACTTCTGGCCTGCAACAAGAGACAGGATGACACAACCAAAAACTAATTATTAATTATTAAGAATAAGATGTGTTGGCATTAATTTAGCCCCATTAAGATGATAGCTCCTTGAACTAATTTAATTATATTGTAATTAATTTGGACCTTTAAGGTTCTTATTCAGGAGCTGAAACTAAAGCATGCAGGGTGTGTTGCTAAGAGGCCTCTGTATTCACTCTAGACTATTTCATGAGTTGTGTGAGGATCAGTATGTTCAAGTTTAAGAGGGTTACAGGTGAGAGAGGTGGTGTGAGGTTGTTGTGTAAGCTCACTTTATTTTAAAAACTTCTTGAATCTATTCTATCATTTAGACAGTAAGAGCTTTCATTGTGGCACCAACTGGTTTCAGAGATCCCTTTTGGTGTGTGGCCTCTCAGTGCCTTTTTTAAATAATTATCTCCAATGAAATCTGAGCACCCACTGGTCACTGGAACAACCAGTAATACAGCAGTAGCAGTTGAATGTTTACCATTGATTTGAAACTTAATATGGTTAAAGATTATAAGCTAAAACAATAAAGAATACTATAACTGCAAATTACAAATTCATCACATTTTATTTAGAAGCTGTGTCCAGACATATAAATACGCAACAAACTATTCACAGCATTTACTACATACTACTATATTTTTAGGTATTGTAGCTATTTCCACTTTTGCCACTTCATATTTTAACTGCACTACATTTCAGAGGGAAATATTACTTTTGCTTCCCTATATTTCACAGCTGTAGTTACTGGTTGCAGGATGTTCATGACTAAATAAATAGATAATATACAAAGTAATTACAATTGGCTTCAACTCGACCAACCAAAACATTAAACATTTGCTTACATGTTAATGTGTAAGTAACAATAATCCAATATATTATTAATAGGCTATACTCTGTGTAAGGGCAATTCAGCATACTGAGTAGTTTTGATGCCTGAGCCTATAAGAATTATTGCTGTCAATATTGTTCTACTCTTACTTAACTTTGGAGGACTTTTATAGGCTTACTGTACAAGAATATTTCTTCCACCACACCACTGATAAAACCATTTTCGAGGAAAACCCCAAGTTGGAGATAAGTCCTTATGAGCAGTTGTACGGTTTTCTCTACAGTAATAATGAACAACGAAGTGCTGCCTGATAAGGAGACCAAACCTATTTATCTATTGAAGCAGCACGGCGCGATTACACTTCAAATCCATTCAAAAACTCTCAAAGAGCCAGAGAAGAGACGCACAAGAGGAATCTACCACGGAAACTTTTCATTGGTCGCCTCAAACCAAAGTCCCGCCCCGATTGTTGAATACCTCTAACCGATTGGTCCACATCCACCTGGGCCACGCCCACATCTCCCCAGCGTCACACGGCCACTGGAACTCCTCTAAAGTAGCGATGGTTGTTGTGGTTGTGCACGCCGCCGACACCTCTCCGAGTGCTGTCCCGCACAGGAGACCGACTTAGGCGGGAGGAGGGAGGGTTTGAGCTCACCACGCATGGAGTTGAGCTCGGACCGGGTGGTGGCAACGCTGGAGATGTCGCAGACCAAACGCACAGACGACGAGCCTTTTGACGGAGACTCCGACTACGAGAGCTTGCCACCTCATGTCTCAGTGACGACCCACATGACAGCCGGAGCCGTGGCTGGCGTACTGGAGCACACGGTGATGTACCCCGTGGACTCTGTCAAGGTAACGCAGGAGCTCGCTTGGCTGCAAATGTCACTTGTTTTTGCGTTCAGTCAGCAGCCAACAAGGGCACCGCGAACTGCACAAGACAGCGTTGCTACGAGTTGCTAACGAAGGTTAGCTGTGAAAGGTTCATGCTGCACATCCCTTAGTTAGCCTCAGTGTTAGCTCATTTAGGCACGACAAGGCTGCTTGGCTACAAGTAGACTGAACTGACTGGTTAAACGGGCTAGCGGTACATTAAATCGTAGAGAAAACACTTTGTTAGGTTAACCAAAACACGGAGCAACAGTTTTACTACATTCTTCGGGTCTTTCTCGATGTAACTATTAACTTCTGCTAACAGAGCAAGCTTATTGAGCACCCAGTGTAACCTTTAGGTCACATTTTGGCGAGGTTAAGGTTGAACAAAGTCCGTGTCATTTTCAAAGTGAGCTCGTTTTTACTGTGTGTGATGTTTCCATGCTATCCCAGGGTTTTCCCTTAGCCTCAGGTTTTGTTTTATCCCGCATAGTGAAACGAAAGTAGGATAAGTGAAGGTCAAGTACCTGGTTGCTTGAGTGTAAAATATGTCAAAGTGACTTGAAATGTCAAACTAGACATATTACGACAATGTTTACTCCACTCTGAATGTTAAACTGTGTAAACAATGTTGGTAAACTATGTAGGGAGTTACAAAGTGCACTTATTGTGTTGACCAAGTAAAGAAGGTTTCAGTGGACAACTAGTACTTTAAATGTCTCAAATATTACAAGATTTAAATTGTCTCTGTCTATTAACTAATGTGATCAGTTGCTATATTTATTAGATTAATTTAAACTGTAATGTCATTGCCAACACAATTCATTGTAGCATCTAACCAGATACAACAGCAGCCAACAGAAATAAGTAAATGTAATTCAGATTTCAGTCTGTTAGAGGATCTCTTTCTTCCTCCTTCAAATGTTACACAGTTCCTAAATATTTTTAGGAGGTAGGGAAATAATGAGCACACTATAATCTCTCACATGAGCGTCTGACGTGTTCACTAAAACTTGCTATAAAAATATTGCACATCAGGTTTCTGTAGCAAAGAGAGTCACATTTTTAAACACACAAGATGAACAAGCAGTCGTTAAAAAAACTGGTTTAAAAGCATTCATATATTCTTAATTAAGTCTCACGTCACTGAGGGGATGCTCTGGAGTTAAGTGGCTGTCATAGAGGTACAGGAGATTTGTTCATTTAAAAGTGTTGGAGCAGTCTCGGTAATACAAACTCTTGGCAGGGATCACATGAGTGTTTAAACAGAGGAACGCATTCTGACTTCAGCACTTTGTGCGACGTTGGCAAATCAAAAAACAAATTGGTTCACTAATTAATTTAAAGCCAGTGTTTTAGTAAACACATGAAATGATTGGCTAGCTTTAAGCGCGTTAAAATTGGCTTTTGTCTGCGAAGCAAATCGCAAACTGTTTGTTTGATGGTGAACTTTGGCCGTGCAATCCTCCTCTTCTGCTCAGCTATTGTTTTCTAACAATGTAGTTTTGTTGTCTTGATCTTGATGTGGTACAGATTAGCATAACATTAACATTAACATAGTGCAAGAAAATACCGTCATTATATCCTCTTTGCCTCAGTGTCCAACTTTTGCCATTTTTCCACATAAACCTTTATTACACAAACCAATGTTGCCATTTCCTCTTGAGGTTTCACAAGCACCTTTCAGCTGTAAATGCGGTTCCCATTCAGTTTGATCAGTACTGAAGTTACAAAGAACCCGTTTTGAAATTACAGAAATCTAAAATGATGAAAGAATGAGTGATGGTTTATATTTAATCCTATGTATTACATCAGAGACATTCATTTTCCTGTTAAATAAATAGCAGTCTGTGTTTTGATAAAATAAGGAATTGGTGTCTCACATCAAGCTTGAGATGAGCTTAGGAAAATATGTGGGGTTTTTTTAAGTCTCTGCATGTTTATTTTGTATTTCCGAGTTGACTGGCTGGTGGTAACGAAGCTGTGAACCTGTCAACCGTTACTGGATGTTTCAACCTCCCAGTAAAGAACGAGACACTGCTAAGACTCTGGGAGTAGTCTGTGTTAAGGCAAAGGGGTGGATCTTATCGGCGTCGTGCACATTTGGAATCAGCTTTACACAGTAAAGGGTGTGTGTATGCAGTTGTTCTTCTGCAGTGTTGATTAGTAAAACCGCCACAGAGCCAGAATTGCATATAAATTAGAAAGATCGGACACGGTGTAAAGAAGTAGATGGGACTCTTTCCTTTTTTTTAGTATCTTACATGATTTTGTTGCCCTTATTTGGGCAGTGATGCTTTTATGTAGACAACTCTCATTTTAATTTCTATTATTAGCTGTTTCACATTATGAATACTGTAAAAAGTGCAAATATTTATCTTTATTTTGAGTCATTACGTAAAACAACAAATTCTGTTGAGAACCAAATGACGATCTAATCTGCACGCTTGTTTTACAGTTCTCAAACAGCAGGATTAATAGTTTTCATTTCATCTTCTATTTCAACATCTCCTTAAAGTTTCACATTATTCCACAGATCTCTTTAATACTTAAATGTTTTTGGCAAAGCATTGTGAGTAATTCAACTTTTTACTGCTCCACCTTTTTGTATTTCTGTTTTAACATAACCTAATCGTAGTCTTCATGATCTTAAATTGCTTTACAAAAAGTAGACTTTTATTTTTGAATTAGACACTTAAGATACCTGTTGCATTTGACACACTTCACACAACAGTTTACCCATGGCATCCCACTTTGTGGCATTGTAATTAGTCCTGAAAAATGACTTTTTAAGGTTAATACAGATATCAGTATTTGAGAGTTAAAAGTCTGATAATGATGTATGATTGAAAATGAACTCGTCATTGTTCTCTGATGTTTAGTTTCAATGCTAGATACCACATGCCTGCTGCCTTCCAGCTCTTCAGCTTTCACATCCTTTCTTATACCAACAAGTTGTGTTGGCTGTTTTAAAACTACAATCCATAATCTAAACCTAGTTTGAGATGTGTAACCATTACTATAACTGTACCATCTTTTCATTTCTAAAAAGTCCCTTTATTTTGCAGGGCTAAACTTCAAGAATTAGGCTTTTGATTACTGAACACATTCATACATTAGATGTCTTTTTTTTATCATCAGGCATTCAGAAAGTTATGACTAAAACAAGCACAATCCTGGGATGCTGTGTGAACCGTCGGTTGGTTGCTATGTACCCAGAATATTTTAGGCTTCAGATTACCTATAGAGCAGCCTATTTATATTATTAAGTAGTTAACTAGTTTTATTCAGCAGTTGACCTGGATATGAAAATAATCACACTTTTGCCTCTGACTTCAGCAGAACAATATGATTCGCAGTGCATATTTTTAGACACAGAAACATAAAACGTAAACTGTGCTAACAAGTTCTGTGTGCCCCAAGTTCCCAAAACTGTATCAAACGGAAATGTAATCGATATTTTATTGTTAAGCAAGGGGAAGGAAACACATGGGGACATGCTGAGGAAGACAGACTGGGCCTATCTCCCGAACCAGCCCCAGATCTCTTTGCAAATAAAAACATGCTTTGTGGTGTGCAGATAACTTGGCATGGTGGAGTAAAACAAAGAGCCGCCACAGCCTCCCACACCAGCCTTTGGAGAGACACACATCACTCAGTCAGGACCTCAGTGCTGCCAAGAACACTTACTGTCAGAACAATGTGACAGCATTACAGGGAACAATACATCAAGAAATCATGATTTGGCCTACACCAGGTGCCCACTTAAAGCCACTCAGAGTCACATTAATAGCCTCATGCAAAGCCCTAGCTTTGGCATTTGGAAACTGTACATGTTAATATATCTAACCATACTGGAGCAAATAATAAAGAATGATTTAAATATATGTCTTTCTTTTTCAGACAAGGATGCAGAGCCTACAGCCAGACCCAAATGCACAGTACAGGGGTGTGTATGAAGCTCTGAAAAGGATCATCCAAACAGAAGGGATCTTCAGGCCGCTGAGGGGCCTCAACATCACCATGTTGGGAGCGGGGCCCGCCCATGCACTCTACTTCGCCTGCTATGAACGGGTCAAGCGCTCACTAAGTGACGTCATTCAGAGTGGAGGCAACAGCCACGTAGCCAATGGTACAAGTTCCCACGTCTCCACACACATCGCTGATATTGTCACACTAACTGCTCTCACACTTGGCTAAACAATATTGCCTGGAGGAGTGTAGTTAGGATAAGTCATTTTAATGCCATATCCTGTTTACATTGGCTATGATAAAACCATATTCCAAATATGAAAAATTCAAACACGCTATCTGGGATATATCAGTACAAACCAGTGTGTTTTACCAGGAAAAAAATGGGAATTCACCCCAACTAAAATTTAAAATAATATCTATAACCAATCAATTTGATGTTACAATTATTTTCAACACAGTCATTAATTTAGACTTAACAAGATCTGTTTATGTTTTAACAGGTATTGCAGGTAGTGTGGCCACTGTTCTTCATGATGCTGTCATGAACCCAGCTGAAGGTAAGAAAAATATGGCAAGGCCTTGAAGTTGAGGATATTCAAAGTATTAGTAAGTATTATTTGTGTGTTCAATACCTGATATACCGTATAGATCCATTGTTGTCCAAACAATCAGTGAGCCATGTCATTGCACTGGGTGACATGTTCATTACTATGTACAGGGGTACTGTACTTTATTTTCAGTCAATCACACATACATCACCCTGTTGCAGTAAATACTCACTATGGTAACAAATGTGGATTAATCTGCACTGGAAAATAGGCAGCAGAAAAGTCACTGTTTACTGCTATTGGAGTGAAGTTGCTAAAAACATCCAAAGATTTAAAAAATGATCTATTAAGATGAGCCTATTAAGAACTAATGGTGTTGGAGTTGGTTAACATAGACAAACAAGTCACACAGACAAACTAATGCATTGTTGGTTTTGATCTTTTCACACAAATATGGAATGATCAGTCATATCCTTTAAACAGCGGATGTTAACACTTTTCTTGGACTGTCCCTGTCAGCACAATATAATTAATTAGATATTTTATCTCTTTTTGTTTCACACACTTTGTCTGTTCTTTCTTCAAGTATAATCATAATCATTAACAATGGTCTGGATTGCCTGTTAACACATTTTGAAACCTACTGAAAACATAACATTGTTGGAGGATCTATTGGCAGAAAGGGACTATAATATGCATAACTAAGCTTTTATTAGTGGATAATCACCTGAAAATAAGATTTGTTATGTTTTTGTTACCTTAGAATGAGCCTTTTATATCTACAGATGCAACGGGTCGCCTTCCATAGAGGCCATGTTGAATTGTCCTGTTTCTACAGTAGCCCAGAAAGAACAAACCGAACATTGGCTCTAAATAGGACTGTTTGCGTTGTTTCACGGCCACCATAGTTTCTCCTGCTTGGAAGTTATGGGGAAGGTAAAGTGAGGGAGTTAAAATCTGTAACTACACTTTAAAAAGCCTGTTCTCTGCCATGTTACACTAAGTGGAAAGTATAAAATTACATAGAATCCACATAAATGTATGCGATAAAAATATGCTAACATCTTGTTTCCTTTCACGTCTCAGTGATAAAGCAGAGGATGCAAATGTACAACTCGCCATATCGAGGACTTTGGGACTGTGTTCAAACAGTAACGCGTACTGAAGGTATGGGAGCCTTCTACCGCAGCTACAGCACACAGCTGACCATGAACATCCCTTTCCAGGCTGTTCACTTCATCACCTACGAGCTGATGCAGGAACAGTTGAACCCCCACAGACATTACCACCCTGGCAGCCACATAGTGTCAGGAGCAGCAGCAGGGGCCATTTCCGCAGCAATAACCACTCCACTTGACGTTTGTAAAACTCTGCTCAACACACAAGAGAATGTAGCACTCAACTCCATGAACATCAGCGGCCACTTAACAGGAATGGCTAATGCCTTCAGGACAGTGTACCGGCTTGGTGGTCTAGCGGCCTTCTTTAAAGGGGTCCAAGCTCGGGTCATATACCAGATGCCCTCCACTGCCATTGCCTGGTCAGTTTACGAGTTCTTCAAGTACTTCCTGACTAAGCAGCAGCTGGAATCAGAGGCAGGACCTCGACCAATGTAATGGAAAGTGTGTTGGAGCAAGCCACACCTAGACTGAAACTAAGGAAAGAAGGCTCAAACCTGAGCTCACTGTGTGCTGTTTGAGGAAATGGCACAAGTTATTGTCTCACAGGGAAGTGGAGGAGTGGAGGAGTGTCTGAGAATGGCACTCCCTGTTGTTCACGTACCTGAGGTTGTGTGTTTTTAAATGAAGATGATGTTGCACAACCAGGATATGCAACAGACCAGATTAATCTTAAAAGGACAGATACACGTAGAAGAGTTAAATAGTCTTCTTCCTCCTCCACTCCACATACACATCAGCCACAACTCTCCAAACCCTACTACGTTGGGAGCGTAATTAAGTTGTCTTGAATGATGTTTATAGTTTATAATATTGGAACTTTTTATTTATTTTGTTAACTTTCCGAGGCTTGTATTTTATGAATGCAGAAGAAACACAATGCTGTTTATTTGTTTTATTTCATTGTGTATTTATGAAAAAAATACCCATTACAACACATTCCTTATTTTCCCTCCACGGCGAACGGAACAGTTGTGCTTTCCAAGTGCCTCACAAATATTAAATGTTGCTTCACCTTTTTTTTTTTTTTTTTCTTGAGAAAATATGTATTTTCGTATTTGAGCCAAGTTCTAGCAAAGAACTGTACTATTCTGTTATTGAATCATATTGTGGCTCTTTATGTCATAACTTTGTCATAACTAAATTTTAATGTACTTTTTTCAATTATCTCTACACCAATTGGTCAAATGGCGACCTGCAGCAGTTTTTTTTTTGTGTTACAGTTTTGTACTATAAATGCAAAATACCATATTTTTTTCCCTTGAGAGAGCCTCTTTCTCTCTCAGTATCAAGTTGTGTAGGCCGTTACGGTCCAGTTAGAATGTTTAAGACCATTATTACAATGCTCCCTGAATCACGCACAATGATTTTAAGAATCATACCTGTTGCAGAAGGAAAGCAGCTTTGTTTATATATTTTCAAAAACATGAATCTATATTTTGAGGGTGACTATTTCTGAGAAACTTCATTATGCAGGTCCAAAGGTGGATCAGATAAGGCTGTGACTTGAGATGGTGGCTATATCTGAACCTTCATGTGCATTTGTACGGTGTGATGTTTAGCTTCCGAGTGGTCTTTTTTGTTAATGTGTCATATTGACCTTGAACCTAAAGGTTGTAGGTTATATATATATATATATAT